ATCCGACAACCTTGGGCGAACTGAAGGATATGTTGAAGACGCTTCTCAAGAGGTCAGCGGAGTAGGAGGACATACTGAAGGCTCTCACGACAGCAAGTAAGGGCCGAGCACGACGATCGCTTGGGCGGTTCAAGCTGCACAGCCTCCGCATCGCAACGCCACGCACTGTACGGAGAACCAAAAGTGATATAACACAACCACTGTCGCTGCAAGCTGCAGATCCAACTCCAAAATGAACCAACGGAACAACGAACATAGGACCAGCTGGTTCAGGAGAGATCACGCAGGACCGCCAAGCTCCTTCAGGAAAGATCGAAGAGGAACGCCAAACCGCTTCACGAAAGATCGCACAGGAACGCCAAGCTGCTTCACGAAGGATCGCGCAGGAACGCCAAGCATCTTCGGGAAGGATTGCGCAGGAACGCCAAACTACTTCACGAAGGATCGCACAGGAACGCCAAGCTGCTTCACGAAGGATCGCGCAGGAACGCCAAGCATCTTCGGGAAGGATTGCGCAGGAACGCCAAACCGCTTCACGAAGGATCGCGCAAGAACGCCAAGCTGCTTTAGGAATGATCACGCAAACGATCGGCACGGACGATAACCCCAGCAGGACACGCACCACAGGGAAACGCAGCGCATCCACAGGGAGAGACCGATCCCAGGCTCGTCAAAATAGCGCGAACATCGAACGCGACCAAGATCTCACTGACAAAGAAGGAGATCTCTACTTGACCAAGAAGTTCGTGCTCGAACAAGAACGCAAGGCCCTGCTCCAAACTCAGAATGACGAGATGGCCAAGATGCAAGCACAGCTAGAGCGCGCCGCCTCCGACTTAAAGGTCGCGCAGTCCCAGATGCACAAGTTTAACACCCATGACATCCAAAGCAACGCGAGATATATCCAAAGTCTCGAGCACAGTTTTACTAGTATTTGGGAAAGTTTTGAAAGAGAGATTACGAGCACTAATGAGTGCATTACAGAGCTTACAACGTGCCTTAACGTCACTGCAATCAAAGCTCATCAAGCTGAGATAACGTTGAACAAAATAACC